AATTGGGTCGGAACTCAAGAACTCGGGACGTATTCCTGCAACATCGATCTAGATCGTCAAAGGTGGGGGGGGGGAGGGGGGGCAAGGGTCATCGTGTGAGTTTCGTCTTGTGGCTCGCCATTGACTGTATCCAATGTGAGGATTGTCTGCCTGGGGGAATAAGTGACGTGTTGGCAGACATCTCGGACTCTTACGTAAAGTGACGAAGGTCTCAATGGTTCTCACGGTATGTTCAGCCCGGGGTTCGCTGCTTTAGAAACCTTTTTTTAAAATGTAACCTCAGTAATATAAATTTAATTTTTTCATTGTTTACAAGGCTTTAAAAAAGGCAAAGCATACTCATACGATATTCATTTGTTAAACAATAAATGCCTCTACCATAATTGTAAAACCAGTTTTTATTTCAGTAACGAATTAAATGCTGGTCACAGGGACATGGGAATGAGAGTGATGAGAATTTTGATAACACAGAAACAAATTTAACTGCTGAAATATACAAACGAGGCCAACCCTAAGATGTCATCATCATTTAGCTGGAGGTGGCCAGTGATTGACAGTTTTTGCATGCACATGTCAAGTTTTAAAATTTGCTGAAATAGCCTGCATCAATCAAACAGTCGTCCGGTCATATCACATTTGAGCCTAGGCTTAGAGGACATGCATATATCATCATATGTGAGCCTAGGCATAAGGGACATGGATATATCATCCTATGTGAGTCTAGGCCTAAGGGATCTGCATATATCATCATTTGTGCGCTTATGCATATGGGACATGCATATTATCATATGTGAGGCTAGGCCTAGGGGACATGCAAAGATATCGTCCTATGTAGTCCTAGGGAACATGCATAATATATCATCCGATTTGAGCGTAGGCCTAGAGGACATGTACATTATTCTATGTGAGCCTTGGCCTAGGGGATATCAATATATCGTCGTATGTGAGCCTAAGGGTAAGCCTACAACGCTTATATTTAAATTGTTTCTAATGACAGACATATGAGGTGCTAATAAAATTAAACAGAGGAAATGACGTGGACAAAATGGGAGCAGCTTTTAGATTTTGACACATCACCTTTTTAAAAATACCATTCTGTTATTTTTTTTTGGGGGGGGGGGGAAACCCCACAAGAAGAAAACAATCTCAATACAGCTAATCACATTCATAGGTTTCAACATTAAAATAATGTTTTATTAAAAACACGACATCATATATTAGGACCATTGAAAGTGAATGTTTTGTAGTTAGAATGTGAATATATTGTGGTCTGGATGTAATTGTGTTGCAGTTTGAATGTGAATATGTTGTGGTCTGGATGTAATTGTGTTGCAGTTTGAATGTGAATATATTGTGGTCTGGATGTAATTGTGTTGCAGTTTGAATGTGAATATATTGTAGTCTGGATGTAATTGTGTTGCAGGTTGAATGTGAATATATTGTGGTCTGGATGTAATTGTGTTGCAGGTTGAATGTGAATATATTGTGGTCTGGATGTAATTGTGTTGCAGGTTGAATGTGAATATATTGTGGTCTGGATGTAATTGTGTTG